TAAACATAAGCATAAAAGAATTGATTGGTCCATACGCATGTGCATAAAGAAATAGACCAATCCGTTTCGTTATGCGCATGGTTATGCACCTATGCAAGTTTGTGTGGATATAGCTTTACAAAGTTTATTGTGGAATTTATTTTTAATTTACACTTTTTGTTTTACTCGTTGACTGCACCTATTTGGCTCATAGTTTTTATTTTCTATTTACACTTTTGGTTCACGCGTTACCTGCTCCGATTTGATTCATTTTTATGTATTATTGTCGTGAATTTAGACTGCGCCTGATTGAATTATGTAGATCAACTTCGTCGAATTTTATGTATTATCTTCGGGACCATCATGTATTTTCTTTACGCTGAAGATGACACAAAAAAGTGTCGAAACGTCCGTTTTTATTATAATATATTTATTGTTACGATAATTTGATTGCGCATTAATTACCGCGTTTGGTTCCTATTGCCTCCTTATTTCCTTTACTTATTGATTTATTCAGGAAAGCCTACTTTTATTTAATTTATATTATATATTATATTCTGAAAAAATCGCATATATATACCGAGATATCACCATCAATACCATACTCAGTTATATTGCTTTATGCGTAAATAAGAATATGACACGCACTTGTGCTCTGTATGCGTATTCTTAGTTACGCATAAAGCCATCGAATATAGCTATTCTACTTCTACTCATGCTGCGAGAAACCGCTGCCCCGATACTACTGGATGGTGGGGGAAGTCTGAAGTGGTAAGAGTGGGAGCAGTGGCTCCTTCGCTTCGAGCAGTTAGACAGGCCTGGACTCTATAAGGAAGCAAAAATATTTTTTACTTAAATCCTAAAAAAAAACAGTCATATTGTCCATTAAAAATGTTTTCGATTTTTTTTTAAAGTACAATGAAAAATAAAAAAAAAAAGATTACCTCATTTTTTAAAATATTTTTTTCCTTCTTAAAGTTACAGGCGCATTTGAAATTTAAAACTGTATTTTTTTTTTAAATCCATAACTTGAGTGTGGGTAGAGATAAAAATCTAAAAAAAATTATGGAAGCTACTTACATTTAGTATAAAAACAAAAAATTTCCGCCAAATCAAAAATGATCGAGAAAAATCCTCGGTGATTTGGCATGGAATGCCCCAGCTACATTATAAAGTAGTATACGATAGGGTAACTCCGGTATATACGCCACAGCTAAGGGAAACTTAATTTATCGAGTACTATTTACTATAAGCTTGTCATTTCTTTACCGAATAATTAATTCACTTCTTATTTTGCATTACTTATTATTCAAAAAGTACAACTAACTCTACATTTTTGTTGCAAATAAATCAATTTCGCGTTGAACCAAAAAATCTGGTTGTTGAGAGAAATTGAAAAAAGACATTCGGTAATTCCAGAACATTCTGCATAATTCCAATTTCAGAATTTTGAAAATTATACAAGGGTTTATAATTTTAAGTGAATAAAAAAGTATTTTATGCAACACGTGCATAGAAAGTGCCCCATTACGCACGCTACGCGTGCGTGATAGACCACTTTTCAGGCACTTGCAACATAAAATAGGGAGTGTAGTCGTGTGTAAAGATGAAAATTCCCGGGTGCGGTTACCGCACTCGCCTTAATTTCCATCTTACCTCACTTGTTACACAAATAACTATTAATAAATGAGAAGAATTTTATGATTTCAACAGTTTCAGCAGCTCGTAAATATCTTTTCGAGGATACGTTAGAAAAAAATGGATCCGTCCGAATCTCAGCAGGATCTACTATCAAACGAGGCAAGACCGCCTTCGGTGCAATCGTTACAGGCGCCCATTGACTATATTCTTGGCCCGGTCGAAAAGCATTTCCTGCTTAGCGCGGAACGAGGTGATTGTGCCACTGTCAAAAGGTAATCCTGCATTTCTCCGCATTAATGTCCCTTTAAGGATATCCTGGGCAAGACGTAAAATAAACTAGATTTTGCAATAAGCTCCTCTTGTCTCCGCGACATAGATCAAATATAGATACCTACATATAATTATATATAAGTGTGTAAAACATTATTTAGATACAATTACAGATTGATAGCTCTGATTTTAACATACGATCAAAGTTCTTACTAACGCCTTGATGTCTTAAAAGTTTTGAGAAAATATATTTTTTTAATTAAAAATTAATAATAAAAAATGCAAGATTTACGTGTGTCTTTTTTGTTAAATAATGTATTACTTACATATCTTAATATTAGTAATAAATAACCCATACAGCATAAAATATTCCATGAATGTTCTATAAATATTCTTTAGAATATTCATGAATTTTCTATGAATGATTTATAAATGTGCAAAGAACATGTAATGTCCCGCTTTGAATGTCCTTAGAAATTTCTGTAAATATTCTCGAATAATCTACAAATGTTTTATAAATTTTTCCGCATAATCATAATTTTTTTATATATGCAAAATATATTTATAGAACATTTATAGATTATTTTAGGAACATTAAAAATGGGATATCGCATATTCTGTATATATTTAATATTCACCCGACATAAAACAAATTATTTATTTCGAAATTTTATTACTATTTTTTAACTAAATTTGTTTCTTAAGATGCAGTCTATGATTATAAATATTTTCTCGTATTTGAAAAACACACTTACCTTGATGGGATTCGAACTAGGAACCTCGGGACCTCTGCATCGTGAGCCAACTGCCTTACGTGGTAGACTACTTCTTAATTTGATGTAAGCGTTATATGTAGTCTACATATGTCATAACCAGCGCAAATATATAATTTTTCAAAAATCATCTTAAGGTGGTTCGATGGCTACAACAAAATGCAGAGAATTTCATGAAATTTTAATATGTTGTTCTGCAATGCAAAATAGAATTATGTGAATTTTTTGGGAATTTTTCACCGTCCCGTTTTGAAAAAAATCTACTCCAAAAACCTAAAAAGTACAATTTTAGGAGTAGATTTATTTCAAAACGGGACGGTGAAAAATTCCCAAAAAATTCACATAATTCTATTTTGCATTCCAGAACAACATATTAAAATTGCATGAAACTGGCTGCATTTTTAACATAGGTTCTTATGGTTTTTATGAGAAATGACATATTGCATATACCTTCAGAATGAAATAAGTGCAAGAAAAAATGCAAATGATAAAGAAAAAGAAATTTGCACATGTAACTTAATAATTTACAAATAAATGAGCGAAAGAAAGGGGAAGGTTACCGCACATTTCGTAGAAAAATTAATTATTAAAGCATAAATTGCTTGATTTTTCATCTGCATAGACTGTCATGGTCGTGAACGACGTGAACAGCAGCACGCATTATACACGCGGCGACCAATCAGAGCAATCCCCTTCATTCCCACTACTTCAAACGCTAGTGCGCTGTTTCCAGAACCCCCGCGTCCCACTACTCCCTCCGATGAAGCCATCGAACCTCCTTAAGAAACAAATTCAGTTTAAAAAGAGTAATAAAATTTGAATTAGATAAATGATATAATATTTTTCAATGTCGGGTGAATGTCAGAAACCAGTGCCGGCTCATTATGAAATTTTTTTATAAAATTATATATTTTTAATAATTTTTTTAAAAAGAAAATTGTAAATCTAATAATAATGATAAAGAATAAGGATTGGCTATTAAGCTTTGGCCCAATATTGGGCGGCACTTGCTTGCCAAGCCTCGGCTACCCAAATTCGGGTAATAGTTGGGCCAGGCTTAAGCATTGAACGTCGGCAAGCCGACAGTCGTGCCAGTCTTGGCCCGTTTCTCGAGTATCGGCGTTTCCTACCTGGGGACTCTCTCGCGGTCTCGTTACGCTTCCCCTTCGTTAGCTCGCAAGGGTCTCGGATTTCTTAAAAGTTTTTATTAATGCTTTCCAGAATATTTATATAATGTTCCAAAATATTCTTTAAATATTCCTAGAATAATTAGAATGTTTTCAATATTTTTCCTAAAATGTTTATAGATTATTTTAAAAATATTCTACTAATATGTAAAAAATATTCTATTAATATTCTGAATATTTCATGTTCATTGCAATGTTCACAGATTATTATTGAAATATTTATAACAATTCTAGAAAAGTTTTTCAGAATATTCATAGCACATGCTATAAATGTTTAAAAATATTAACAAAATGTTCCGTAAATATTCCAAATATTCTATATTTGTCAAAATATTTATAGAACATTCTATGCATTTTTTAAATGTACTATATTTATTAGACATTTGTAGAATATTCTATTAATATTCCGAATGGACAAAATTTTATGGTATATTTATAGAACTTCTACAGAATATTCTGAATGACCCGTGGAATATTAAAATATTTATAGATTGTTTATAGCACATTTCTTGCATATTCTATGCTGTATGGGAAATTAATTACATGGATAGAGTTTCCAACTGTCCACGCAAAATGAGGTCTATTATTTGTTACTTCCTCCTATCTGATCGTGAAAATTTATAAATTATTATTATTACTAATTGTATTACAATTATTATGAAAGAAAGAAAGCAAAATATTTTAGATTTTAAATTTTATATACTATTATTTTTGTTTACTTGGATAATTATAATAGAGGAATCAGTTCCTATGATCTTGACCTTAACAATACAGGGTGTTCCAAGTTTTTTCGGACAAACTTTAATAGAATGTTTTATGAGCAGAAATAAGAAAAAAATATTATATAAACACAAACAAGATTCTAAAATGCTTTATTAGAAAGTTATAGTAAAAGTAAGAATTTTGTGTTGAAGAAGTAACACATTGTACATAAGTGTGATACGCCGTTAGATGATGTTTAATAATGATCCTACCGTAAATGGCCAGCGTCATAGCTACAGCTATCCCAAAGTATGGTTTGGAGAATATTGCGAGCTGATAACAGGTACTCGTATCATTTCACGCCAGTACAGAAACTTGTCTTAACTGATCACGAAAAGCGAACACAATTCTGTGTATAGTACGTGCAACAAGTACAAGAAGATGATTTTTTCCCATCGAAGATACTATATGGCGGAAGAACACAAGTGTGCTCATACTCATGATGAATTTCATACAGTTCTACGCAGATGCCAGATGCAGCTATTTTTAAGTGGCAGTTTCAAAACATTTAAGGTTGTACCAAGTGACTTTGTGACATATCATGAGTAAAAAAGTGACGCATATAAAAGGAAGAAAACAAAAAAAATGAGAAAAATGACTAACATTAAAAATAAGTACGCATTACATGTATATGTTTTTATATACTTTGTATTATAATTTATAATTATATTATATACGTATGCAATATTAATCTCATATATTTTTCAAACTGATTTATTCTTCAACGATTGTTCTTATATATAAATTAAACACAAAAATAAATAAGTAAGGCTGCGGTCTATGGCATGCCGTTTTACTTTTTAATAGCATAAATAAAATTATACTCAATATAAAAATTTCAAAAAAATAATTGTCTTCAGAAAAATTGCGATTCTTAAAAATGAATTAAAATTATGTCTAGACATAATAAAAATTGACGAATTAAAATTATGTCTAGACATAATAAAAATTGGATGAATTAAAATTATGTCTAGACATAATTTTAATTCATTTTTATTATGTCTAGACATAATTTTAATTCATTAATAAAAATCGCAATTTTTCTTAGACAATTATTTTTCGAAACTTTTATATCGAGTACAATATTATTTATGCTATTGAAAAGTAAAACGGTGTGCCATCCAATTTTCATCAAATTTTACTTTGACGAATTAAAATTATGTCTAGACATAATTTTAATTAATTATTTTTATGCCTAGACATAATAATAATGTTTCTAAACCATTTTTCTCTTTATTGTAAATTGGAGAATTAGTTTTTATTTGTATACTAAAAATGTTTGCTATTAAAAA